CTCGCGGTCGGACGAGTGCGCATGCGCAGCTGTAGTCCAGTCACTACATCCCAGAGCAGCTGCCGCGTGTGGCCGCTGTGTGGCGCGCGGGAGAATCCACTAGGGTAAAGGTATGGCCTTATGAGGACCGAGCCAGGTGTTGACGTCGTCCCCTTTTTCTGGTCTTCTACCTTTTGGGAAATGTCCAACGAACTCGTTTCTCGGTCCTTCTCGCCAGAGTCACCAACGACGCACAGCCTGAGCGGAGCAACTTAGAAGTTGAGGAAGGACAAGTCCGATGTGTCCCAAAGGCATCAGTTGAGGAAAGGGCACGTGGGATCTGGGGCAGGTCCAGACAGTCAGGCACCAGTAGCCGTTAGTTGCAGGTGGACACAGTACCTTTTTATTTTATTCATTTGTTTTCACGCGGTGCTGAGAATTGAACCCAGGGCCTCACGTGCTAGGCAAGCGTCCACCACTGAGCCCCCGCCCCAGCCCAGGACCTCTGTTTTAAAACGACAAGAAACAAACAAACGAAGAAAGAGTGGCAATGAAACACGAAACACTCTTGGGTTCTGTTTTCTGCCCTATCATCCCGCACCGGGAGCCGAGCAGAGGCCTCACTTGCTGGGCAAGTGCTCTGCTCCTGAGCTATACCCCCATCCCCTGGCCAGGTTTCCGAGGCTAGCCTCAATGTTCCTCCAGCCTGAGCCTCCTCAGTTGCTGAAATTACAGCCACGCACAACTGCGCTGGGCCCGATCGTTTTTTGTACTGTCAAATCTGTTGAGGTATCTGATAAGGATTTGAATCCAGCATTTGCAAAGACACACCTTGCTAATAAAAACAGAAATAGCACAATTTCCAAGTGAACAACGGATGTGAGCCGCCTTTTCCCCAAAGAAGATATATATCCGGTCCACTAGAGCTTGAAAGTCCCGTCTTCGGTCAGTGGGGCAGGACACATCTAAACCACGGTGGCACCTTCCTGCCCAGCACGAGGATTCGAGGACAACGTGTGGGCAGGAACGGAGAGGCGGGCCTCTGCAGGCCACCCCTGCTCATAGGAGGCACAGCTGTGCTTGGCGTCGCGGTGGTCTGGTCACTTGCAGCCCGTAGTTTCCCATAAAATGGGAGGGTGAGCCTTTCCGTAGCCAGGGGATGGGAAACTCAGTAACCCTTTGAGATCAAGTCTGGGGCAGGCAGGTCCCGCAGGGCTCCCTCCGTTCCCTCGCACCACTTTGCACGCGCGGGGGGAAGCGCACGATGCCTCCCGAGCAGGAGCCCGCGCGCACGCACGTCCCCGCACGTCGCTCCTCTCGAAACGCCGCGAGATCCGCCTCGCCACGCCGAGATCGCGTTCCCCGGAAGGGGCCGCGGCGCCCGCGCGTGCGCATCGCCTAGCTTCCGGTCGGCGCCGCGGGACGCGCCGTGAGAGGCGGGGCGCCTGCTCCCCAGGCGGCAGGTGAGGGAGTGACGCGCCACTTCTTCCGCGAGCGCGCGCGTCTTGCGCAGCGTGTGTTTAACCCGGACGAGCACTTGCTTCGTGGGGGCCTCCCGAGAGTTTCAAGACCCCGAAGCCCTGGGCGCCCCGCCGTGGGAGCCGAGGCTGCACGGGCAGCGCGTCAGGGGTCGCGGTGGCTCCCTCGTGGGGAGGCGACGCGCGACGCGCAGGCGGCCCGGGCGGGCGTCGGCAGCAGGGCGCTTGCTGCCTCCGTGCCCGCACGACGCCCGCCTCCGGCGGCACTGCCGCGCCTGTGCGGAGCTCTGCTCGGTGCTGACCTCGGTGCTGACCTCGAGAGGGTCAGAGAGGCCGAGGGTGTTCTGCGGGCGCTGAGCCCGTGAGCGTTTGCGTGGCTTGACTTCTTGTTGCTGCATTTCCCACATCGTGCAGAGGATCCCGAGTTGGATATCTTGTGCGTGATGTCCAACATTATTTTGGTTGTGCCAAAAATGATTCAGCCACTGGCCTACTTGTAGCCCTGACTCCTTATGTGCTGCGTATTCTTCTGCAGAGCTTGGTGTGCAAATGTGCACACTACTTTGTGTCTATGGAGGGCCACATTTATGTCTTGATATGGAGCCCTGGGCTTGCGCCATTTAATTTATCTGCCTCTCCACTCCCGTTTCTTGACTCGAGGTAGACCCTAAAGTGCTGTCCACAAAGCCTATTGAACTGCGGGCTTTTTGATTGTGGAAGTTGGGCAAAGAGCCAGGTAGGCTTTTTTTGTACTGGGGATGGAACAGGGGGCATCTTACCCTTCTTATGTTTTTATTTTGAAATAGGGTCTCACTCAGTTGCTTAGGGCCTCCCTAAGTTACTGAGTCTGGCCTTGAACTTGCAGTCCTCCTGCCTCGGCCTCTCAAGCCACAGGTAGACTTTTGAAGATGTTAAATTTGATGCATGAGAGAATGAAATGGCATAATCCTGGGGAAACTTTATTTTGGGCTGGAGCTATGCATATTATTATACAAACCCTCTATATTACTCTACCTAAGAGGAATTTTCCTTGTACTTGAGGTACAATGTGGGTCTCAGTCACTGGAATAAGTGTGAGCATCCTTGTGTTAGATGTGTGTCGGCAACAAGGCAGAACCTCTGGGTATTTAAGGGAAATCAGAGAGAGGACCCTTGATTCCTGCCTCCTTGGCTGGGTTGAGTGACAGCCAGTTTGTCCTCACTCTGTTTTGAGGGTGGTTGGGGACAAGCAGGTTAGGGCTTGTAACCTCCTCTTCTGGGAGCTGTGAAGCAAGCCTACCCTCTGTTCTTTACTTCCCCCAGCTCCACCATCTCAGGAGACTGCACTTCCTCAAGAGAGGAACCTGGAGGAGGACCTACCACCTTGTGAAATTCTAAAAGTCATGTCCCTCGTGAGTTTTAAAATCATGTAAATATTTGTTTTCCTTATCCTGAAACTGCCCATCTGGGTTCCATTAGTTAGTTTAGTTCTCAGAGGTCTCCATTTTAGGGACTGAAAGGCCCAGACAGCTAATTCCTGTCCTATTGCTTGCCCTCACAAATGCCCATGGGTCCATTCTGCATAGCATCACATGTGTCCTGACAGTTCTGCCTTCGGCTAGGAGGACAGATGGAGCAAAAATACACTTTGGTTTATGAAATGAGAGCACCCTTTGTCAGAACTGAGGTGAAAAGAATGGAAATGACATTTGGGGATGTAGAAAAGCATGGAGCTGGTGCAGGTTGGTCTCCATGTGAGTGTGTATGTAGTGTCCTTCTTTGGAAGAAATAATTGAGGCTTAGCTGAGAATCTGAGATTGAATGCCAGAGTGAAGATCTAATTTGAGGCTGCACAGAGCATTTGATTCTGGGTCGTTCTTCAATAAGAGAGAGAAGCGCAGAACTAAGGATGTGGCTGAAAGCAAGTGTAGACTGTCAGCCTGTGGGTGGTCAGATCACATAAGAGCTTCGAGATTTGTGATCAGTTCTGGGTCCACAGTAACTGAGCGTGCCATTCTTCTCACTTTAAGAAAATTGGATAGTCATTAACAGTCATCTTTGTGTTCGTTGTTTTTCTCATGAAGAAAATGCTCACGATATATTCTGATATGATGAATTTAGGTTTCTGAGAAATTCTTGATGTAGATGAACATCCTGTTTTTAGATAAAAACATTTTTATAAAAATTTTTGAACAATATTTAGGTGAAAGCCCATCAGGTATCTTTTTTTGTTGTCCCATCAAGGTAAAAACTATAGGTCTTACCTTAATGGTGTCAAGCAGAGCGGGCAGCCTATTTTAGCACACTATTGCACAGAATAAAGAAAACTCCATTTGGCTTTTTCATTTTCATCCCAGACTTGCACAAGAGCTTTGGCTTGCTGTTTTAGTCTTGCCCACTTCCTCTGTCCCTGCCCCAGCTTTTTCATTCACCAGAACAACCCCTTCCTGCAAAGACTTCCAGTTTTTCTCATCCCACTGTGAAAACATCTTGAAATATACATGTATCATTTATTCCTCTTGTTCCAGGGGTCAGAATTTTTCAGGGATGTGGCTATAGTCTTCTCACAAGAAGAATGGGAATGGCTGGAGCCTGCTCAGAGGGATTTGTACAGAGATGTGATGTTGGAGACTTACCGCAACCTGGTCTCACTGGGTAAGGTGATCTGGTCTTATCAAGGGTCCACGGCCAGTGTCTCATTGGAGGGTTCTTCCTACCCAGGAGAATCTAAGCCACCCTAAAACTTAAAATCTCAAATTATTAGTGAATAATAAAACACAGATACTCAGAAATGTATTCACGAAATGCGAAGCTCCTGATCTAGTCCACGTGGGTTCTGGAACTAGACAAAGAAAAGATGGATCTGGTGGTTTATTTAAGGGGGTCCATCAAAGGCAGGGGTAAGGTCTCAGGGGCAGAGTCTTGCTTCTTAATGTCTTGTTGTCAGGAGGTTGATTGACATCTGGCAGGTCACACCCATCTCAGGTACTATGTGGGCCACAGCAGAGTGGGCTAGAGATTCACATTGACCCTGAGCAGCTGACCAGAGAAAATGTCCATTGGTCATTCCCAGACACCAGATGTCTCTATCCTCTAGGCTTCCACGCATGGTGACCCACATGCAACTCATGGGTGGCTCCTGACACGGTCTGTCAGCTTGGATCTTACTCTAGGGCGTTTCTGTCCCCTCCTGGTCGGTTTCTGGTGTCAGTCAGTTCTGTGAGTGTTGGTCATTTGGGGAGTGACTAAAGGGCATCCCACTAGCTGAATCGATTTCAAGTAATCACTAAGTCGTCTTCTAGCTTTCTTTTTGCCACTGCCTCTCCTGTGCAATGACCCAGCCCTGAGTCTGAGTTCTGGCCGTCCCATCTCCACTATAACTGCGTGGTCTTTTTCTTCTCTTTGCCAGGTCTTGCCATATCCAAACCTGATGTGATCTCCTTCCTGGAACAAGGCAAAGAGCCCTGGATGGAGGAGAGGGTGGTGTCAGGAAGCCTGTGTACAGGTGAGTGAGGCATCAGTGGAGAGAGGGCAGATCTGCATCAAGGAGGTGGCCCTTGGCATTAGAAAGTCTTCCCTTCAAGTTGCCAGATTCAGAGGTCAGGTCTTGCATACAGGTCCTTGATCTTTCCTTCCTGAAACATTTATTTATCGTCTTGTATTTAGCAATTGAGTGAATACAAACGTTACGCTTCCTAAGGAACGTATTTTCTTTTTGGAAAGAGATGTATGTCCTTTAACCACTTTTCTAAAGGAAAAGTCAGCTCTTTATTTAAATTTTGGAGAACAGTCAACAAGTATTTTTGAGCTTGTGTCATGCACCACAGTGTGTACTGGTGAGGGGGCCACACCGTGTCCCTGCCTTCGTGGAGCTTAACTGCCAGAAGAAATAGACATGAACACACGCACGCAAGCACATGCACAAACAGAAAAAAGAAAAGGTCATCTGGGCCGCACAGCAGGGCAACTGGTCCAAGGAGGAGGCATTTTAGCTGAGACGCAGGCCTTTGATGGCCCTTGGTAAACATCAGCTATGTGTGTGAAAGCTGAGTCAGGGAGGCCCTTGGTGCCTCTGAGACAGATGGCCAGGGTGGCTGGAGTCGAGCGAGGCATGGAGCATGGGAGAGGAAGGTGCATCTTGGTGTGAGCCAGGGACTGCCAGAGGTCTTGCCCATGTGGAGGATCCAAGCCATGATGTGTGGGACCCACCTGAGAATGTGTAGGTAGCATGTTCCTCACAAGTTGTTTGTTTGTTTTTTTGTGTGGTACTTTAGCACTGAAACACATCCCCAACCCTTTTGTTTTTTATTTTGAGATGGGCTCTTACTCAGTTGCTTAGGACCCCACTAAGTTGCTGAGGCTGGCTTGAACTTGCAGTCCTTCTGCCTCAGCCTCCCAAGTCTCTGGGATTACAGGTGTGCACCACTGTGTTCACCTTGTGTTTCTTTTTTCTTTAGCTTTTCAATATTTGTACTTGTAGGTGGACATAATACCTTTATTAATTTTTAATGTGGTGCTGAGGATTGAACCCAGTGCCTCACACGTGCCTGGTAAGTACTCTGCCACTGAGCTATAACCCCAGCCCCTCATGTTTCTTTTTGCTGGTACCAGGAATTGAACTCAGGGGCCCTCAGCCACTCAGCCACATCCACAGCCCAATTTTGTATTTTTTTAATATTTATTTTTTAGTTGTACACAATACCTTTATTTTGTTTACTTATTTTTATGTGGTACTGAGGATCGAACCCAGGGCCTCGCATATGCTAGGCGAGCACTCTACCACTGAGCCACAACCCCAGCCCTGTTTTTTTTTTTAATATATTTTTTTAGTTGTGGATAGACCTTTATCTTATTTATTTACATGCAGTGCTGAGAACCAAACCCAGTGCCTCATGTATGCCAGGCAAGTGCGCTACCGCTGAACCACAGCCCCAACCCCCTATTTTATATTTTATTTAGAGACAGGGTCTCAGTTGCTTAGCACCTCGCTTTTGCTTTGAATTCACGACCCTCCTGTCTCAGCCTCCTGAGCAGATGGGATTACAGGCATGCTCTACTGCACCCAGCTCATGGTTCCTAAAGTCACAAAAAACACGTTTAGATTAACAAGAAATACGAAGGCATGATGGAGAAGAGATTTGAGTGGGCAGAATGTTGGAACCTTGTTTTAAATATTTTGCTATATTAAGTATCCTAATTTAAATCATTCAGAAATATGTGTATTTTTAGGAATGTTAGAGTCAGGGCCAATAATGGAGGAGGAAAAAGCTAAACTAATATATTTTCAACAAAGAAGTGCTCATCTAGTGATAGCAACAATCTGTAATTTAAAATAAATCTAAAAATAACGAAATAGCTGTCTAGTGTTTTTTTTGTTTGTATTTGTTTTTTAAGACAGGGTCTCTGTAGGTTGCTCAGGGCCTCAATACACTGTCATGGCTGTCCTCAAACTTGGGATCTTCCTGCCTCAGCCTCCAGAACAGCTGGGATCATAGGTGTGTGCCACTGCACCTGGCTGCTGTTCATTTTTTTAACAGTCCAAACTGCTCTTTCTGATGTAATCAAGTTGCTCCATAAAGTTGTTAGCATTTTTTACAAGACAAAAGGCAGGTAAATAACCTTAGTCTGGCCTGGTCTCAGCGTTCCAGATCTCCTGTTGGTGTGCCTCCTCTAGTAGAGTCAGTTCTATGGCTCACGCGTGTTGGTAAGGCAAAGCTTTGGTGGCACAGCTTGCTCAGATGCATTTAAAAGCACTGGCTGTGGACTGGAGATGTGACTCAGTGGTAGACCACTTGCCTCACATGCTCAGGGGCCTGAAATCAAAGTGTCCGTAGTCCTCAGATTTGGACTTTGAAATTGAGGGAAGTGTCTCCTGTGAGCCAGGGGACTCACAAGTCCATCTGCTACTCTGTTAAGTAGGTCTTTCAGCAGCTACTACTACATGATGCTTAGGTCTTGATCCATTTTGTTTTGTTATAACAAAATACACGAAGCTGGCTCACTTATAAATAAAATAGGTTTATGTGGCTCATGGTGACTAAAAGGTCCCAGCATCATTGTGCTGGTGTCTGGTGAGGTCCTCCTGGCTTTGGATCATAGCATGGTAGAAAAGTGAAACGGCTACATGAAGAAGGGCCAAGCATATATGGTGGCCTCACATAAAGCGGCTCCCTCTCGGAACTAGTCTATTGACATGAGGCCCACACTGCTCCCGGGAGCCAGGTGTCAGCCGTTAGCCCCTTCGGAGGGTGGTGTTCTGTGTTCTAATCACCTCCCGTTGGGCCCTCCTCTTAGAGGTCCCACCACCTCACTGCCATCTCATGGGGACCATGTCCAAACCATGGTGCTGGGTGTGACAAATAGTTGACAGTCCAGGTTCATCATGAATAAACCACCAAAGACAGTTGCCTTCTAGCTGTCTTCACTTGTCACAAGCCTGGAGAAGGTGCCAGCACAGTGTGTACTAATATAACTAAGAGTCAACACTTCACTGTTATCCCCAACAATTAATCGTTTGTCTTTACTTATCACCATTTGAATTTGATGTACTCAAAATTGAAATGTTTAATTATGCAAAACTCAAGTACTTGTTAGAAGTGAAAACCAAAATATTGTATTGCTGACTGTTCATAAGATTTTTAGATATTTTTTCATTGGTTGTTCAAAACAGTGAGTACTAATGCCCAAATAGCTCCCTGTGCTGTTCCAGATCTCATCAGGAAAGATGAAAACATAGGAGAACTCACTTTTTTGGAGGGTGGGGTACTGGGGATTGAACACAGGGGTGCTTAACCACTGAGCCACAGCCCCCCCCCCTCTTTTTTGTATTTATATTTTATTTAGACACAGGATCTCACCGAGTGCATAGGCCTTGCTGAGTTGCTGAGGCTGATTCTGAGCTCAGAGCTTCCTGCCTCAGCCTTCTGAGCCCCGGGATAAGACCTCACTATATTGTTGCTGTTTCACATTCACAAGGAGTTAAGTAGACACAGAGGTTAGAAATCAGGATGATAGTACTTTCTTTGGATAGTAATATAATCAGAGGTGTTTATATTTAGAAGACTGGGAAAATGCTCATGGAGTCAACACTACACTCTGCCATTGATCGATAAAATCTGACCATTTAAGGCAGATGTGATAGATTGGCACACAGAGAAAGGTGTGTTTTTAAAGGCTTTTCCTTAGAAGTAGTCAACGTTTTTTCCCACATAGTTAAAAAAAAGCAGTAAGGTTCTGTGACTTTGCTCCTCCAACAGTGGCCACGGGGCATAGCTGGCTATCCCACACCGTTTTCCTCTGTCCACTGGCCAGCTTTACTTCTGTGGTCTGCTGCCATCCTTTGGTGCCCTTTCCTTTCTTCCTTTCTTTGGTGGAATGTCCTCACCACTGAATAGGGCCGTACAGGGGGACATCCTGAGTGACTATTTGGAATCTGTCTCTCCAGATGCATTCCTGGCCGCAGTAGAGACTCGACTTTTCTCCTGCACAGCTGGAGCCTGGAAGTGTGTCTTTCCCCTGCCTCATTGCACTGTCTCTTCATGGAGTTGTGTGGATGTACTGTGGTTGTAGCACAAGGTCTCGAAGTGACAGCAGCCACATCATTTTCACAAAACCTCATGATCTTTCACAGTCTTCCTCACCTTCTGCTGTAGAAGCAACCTTTATATTCCAATAGTTTTTGCTTAATACTTTAACAACAAAATGAGCAAAACCGATATGCCACCATAAGAGGCAAACACGTACCCGTGAAGTCCTCCCAGGCCATATGCTGAGAACGCTTCATGGCCTGTACAAAAGCACCCATCTGCTTTCCCCTGTGGTTCTCCTGACAGTGAGTCTTTTTTAGCCAAATGAGGTTGGTAGCTGTAATAGTAACCACCTCAACTGAAATCTCGGGCCTGTGAACTCTGGATCTAATACACCATTCACTTTTTGCTTGTAATTTGAATAAGCAGCAAAATATGTAGTTCTGGAAGGGACCCACCCTTCATCAGTTGTGCCTGATCATCTTAAAACAGGGCGCTTCTTGTTCCTAAGTCACCGTAGGCAGTGGAAAGGTCCAGGAGAGGCTGCTCAGTTGGTGGCTTTGTCGTGGTGGTCAGCCAAACTTCAGTGACAGAAAACATCACGGAAGCCGCAGCAGCCCGTCAGCACGGCCTCTGGGTGCCGAGGCAGGACAGGGCGAGCCCCACTTAGTCTTACTTTTTGAAATTGTGATAAAATAAATATAACAAAAATTACCATGACAACCATCAATACACAATTCAGTGGTGATCATATCCACCACTGTGCAACTGTCGCCACTTTGAACTTTTTATATCTTGTGAAATCTCCATGATTTTGAAAAATACTGAGGATGATCTATATTCAACAAATGTAGCTGTTTTGAGTGTGACATTAATGAGTGTGACCATCACACAGTCAAGGCAGGACGTTGGCATGACCTGAAGGCCCCCTGGGCTCTCATGCTCCTCCCACATGCTCCTTCATGCTCCAGGCAACAGCCATTTCTGGGTCACTCCGGGTCATGTCAGATCATATCTGTCTCTTCTAGTGTCTCATGGAAGCTTCTTTTTCTTTGCTGGTACTGGGGCTTGAACCTTGAATCCAGGATGCTCCTTTAAGCTGCATCCCCAGTCCTTTTTATTTATTTTTTATATTTAAAGGGTGTCTTGGTAAGTTGCTGAGGCTGGCATCGAACTTACAATCCTCCTACCTCAGCCTTCCAAGCCTTTGGAATTATAGGTGCAGGCCACCACACCCAGCCATAAAGACTATTTGTTAAAAAAAGTGATTCAGAGGTGGTTGAGATATACACTAACATGTTTAGAAATACTCTTATCATCTCTCTGATTACCACCCTCATTTCGTTTATGGTATTTGTTTTTCTTTCTCTGTTCTACTTGGCTACCTTTTAATTGCTTAGCTACACTCAAGAGCTTATAAGTATTATTTTGAGCCTAAACTTTCCAGTTTTTACTAAATTTCCTTCTAGAAAAGAAAAATAAAACATAACTGTTTGTTTCTTTTTTAGTCTTGAAATCCAGATATGATACCAAAGTGTCACCTCCAGAGCAGCATGTTCATGAAGTCAAGTCGCCCCGGTGGGAGATAATGGAAAGACTTGCAAGTTATGGTCTCAGGTGCTCAGGTTTGCCTGGCGACTGGGATTGCAAAACTCAGTTTGACAGACAACCAGGAGGTCCAGACAGGCACTTCAGACGAATGTTAATCAGTCATGAAAAAATACCTGCTTTGAACCCGCAGACATCCCTCATTTTTTACCAGAACATTCACACTGGAGGAAAGCCACATGGATATAATAAGTGTAGAAATGACTTCTGGCAGGAGGAATTCCTTATTAATCATCCAGGAATTCATTCTAACGAGAAACCCTATAAATGTAAGGAATGTGGGAAGGCCTTTAAATATGGCTCACGACTCATTCAGCATGAGAATATTCATTCTGGCAAGAAACCCTATGAATGTAAGCAATGTGGAAAAGCCTTCAATTCTGGGTCCAATTTCATACAGCACCAGAGAGTTCATACTGGGGAGAAACCCTATGAATGTAGGGACTGTGCGAAGGCCTTCAGTCGGAGCTCGCAGTTGATTGAACACCAACGGATTCACACTGGTGAGAAACCCTACCAGTGTAAGGAGTGTGGCAAGGCCTTCAATCGGATCTCACATCTCAAAGTGCATTACAGGACTCATACTGGGGAAAAACCCTATGCATGTAAGGAGTGTGGGAAGACTTTCAGCCATCGGTCTCAGTTGATTCAGCATCAGACTGTTCATACTGGCAAGAAACTCTACGAATGTAAGGAATGTGGGAAAGCCTTTAATCAGGGATCAACTCTCATTCGCCATCAGAGAATTCATACGGGGGAGAAGCCCTATGAATGTAAGGTGTGTGGGAAGGCCTTTAGAGTGAGCTCCCAGCTTAGGCAACATCAGAGAATCCACACTGGAGAGAAGCCCTACCAGTGCAAGGTGTGTAGTAGGGCCTTCAAACGGGTGTCACACCTCACCGTCCATCACAGGACTCACACAGGCGAGAAGCCATATGACTGTACGCAGTGTGGGAAGGCCTTCAGTCACTGCTCCCAGCTGGTTCAGCACCAGGCCTCTCATGCTGAGGGAAAGCCCCGGGAACACGAAGGATGGGGGACGACCCTTGCTCGAAGTGCCACTGCGCTTCAACACTCCAGGCTGCGGAGTGGAGAAACACGCACGAATTTATTGAGTGCAGAAGAGCCCACCGTCGGCACATACCCTTTGTTGATCATCAGGGAGTTTGTGTTGGCCAGCAGCCATGTCAATGGAAGTCAGGGGAAAGCCCAGCAGCTCAGGCCAGCCACAGCTGCCAGCTCCCGCACCTTACAGAAAGGCCTGAGGGGGAAGGGGGTGGGAAGGCCTTCGCTCAGAGCTTGTCTTTCACCTGAAGTTGTAAGCTCTGCGGAAACATTTGTGGATATAAAGGAATGTGCTTAGACCACTATTTATCAGGCAGGGAAGGTTGGGGAATATTTATCTCTGACACATTCAGAATCATATTTTCTAACCTCAGCTTACTAATTTCAATAAGAGTCAAGTTTTAGTTTTCTTGGGGGTGGGTGAAGAACTGACTGAATTACTCCTGGATTACTCCCCGGGAAGTACATCATGCAGCTACCATAAAGGGTGACGAGCAGGTCGTTCACACCAAGGGGTCAGACGTCCCATGCTCCTCCTGAGCACTGCGTGCACACAAGCCGGGGAGCTCAGACACACCAAGGGTACTGGTCAGCCTACAGAGACCCAGGCCGCACAGCAGGTGGACAGAGTGGTGCCAGGGCAGGTGGTCATCTCCTGGTCATCACCATTTCTCTGTGTCCCTATTTCAGGAAGAGTCCGTTTGGGAGAGTCTCTTAATTTCCCCATGGGCAGCTTGTTTTGGGTCGTATTTTGTGACTTCTGTCTTGGGCAGGTGTCATTTGCCTGCCCAGAAGGTGTGGCAGCTCACCTTATTGGCAGCATCGTCTCTTGCTTAGGATGTGAAAATGTCAGATTCTCATTTTCCAACCTCCTGTGCCACTCAGAGTGACCAGTGTGTCCCACTGTGAGTGGGGCTTTTGGGGAGCAGTTCACTCCTTCCCTGTGCACTTCCCGTTGTTGGACATCTTCACGTGGGAAGGTGAGACTGCAGCTGTCGTGGAGCCAAGAGGAGGAAAAAGGACCTGGAGAAGCTGACTCAGAGCCCAGAGACCCCAGGCTGGGGCGGCCTGATGCCTCTGTGCGAGAAATGAACCTTCACTGCCCATGTTTTAGTTGGGTCTTTTGTGAATTTGCATCCAAAAGCATTCCAAATGATATAACTTCAAAAATATTTAATTTTTTTTATGATTGATAAGTGTGGCCTGAAAATGTCAGCTTTGATTGTCTTTTTTCATGGCTAAATATAGGGCTGGTTTTTAAATATGTTCCATGAACTTCAAAAAATGTATGCATTTTACATTTTTGGATATAGTTTTTGAAATAAATCTGTTAAAGCCAGTGGGTTTTAATGATAAAATTCTCTATATTCTTATATAACTTGATATATTGGATCAGAATTTCCTAAAATTGACTTTTTTTTTTTTAAAAAAAAAAAAACAAGGTCCTGAGATTCCTGCCAGACTTTTGCTTTTTGTTGTTTGGGCTGTAAGGACGTTACTAATCCTCTACATGCATGTTACACCTTTCTTTTTTTAAAATATGTTTTTCATTGGAGGTGGACACAATACCTTTATTTTAATTTTTACGTGGTGCTGAGGATCGAGCCCAGTGCCTTCCACATTCGAGGCAGGCGTTCTGCCACTGAGCCCCAGCCCCAGTCCGAATGCCACACCTTTCATCTTTATGTGGTGCCCACCTCTGCCAAGTCCAGCTGCTGCCTGTTCTGTCAGGTCTCACTGGACAGGCCTGCTCGTCCATTTGTTGTTTGACGCCTTTGCGCCACTGGAATGTTGCAGCAGACTGGCCACAAGACTATGTTTACTGTAGGGCTTTTTAGATAGAAAGTTCGCTCCTACGTGGCCGAGTAATTCTTTGGCTATTTATTTTCAGATTTTGTATACTACTTGTAATGCCTTATCTCTGTGTGGTGTGCTTCTCCCTGTTACAGGCTGGGCCTTCTGGAGGCTGAGGTAGGGCAGAGGCCCCCTTCAGACCCGGATTCTTGCGATCCAGTCAGATTTCAGACATGTGGCTCAGAGTAACAGGCATGAGTTTATAGAAGGGATAGGAAAAGGGGAAGGGGACACTCTCAAGGGAGAAAGTAGGTCCTCAGAGAGGAGAGGGACAATGTGCCCCTCCTGTGCTCCAGTTTTATTGGGGATCCCAGAGAAGTTTCCAGAGAGTCCTGCCCAGGTCCACCTCTTGACTTTTGACTAGACAGCATGACATCAGACTTTGAAGACCTCACTGCCATGACAACTCTTGGTCACTTTGGCCTGTGCTGACCAGTTCTAATTGGATTCTTTTTTTGCTTTTGTTACCAGGGATTGAACCCAGGGGAGCTTAACCATCAAGCCACATCCACAGCCCCCTTTTTTTATGGGGGTGGAGGGTACTGGGGATTGAATTCTCGGGGGCACTGAGCCATATCCCCCTATTTTGCATTTTATTTAGAGACGGTCTCAGTGAGTTGCTTAGTGCCTCACTTTTGCTGAGGCTGGCTTTGAACTTGGGGTCTTCCTGCCCCAGCCTCCTGAGCCTCTGTTGTCATCATACCCAGTCCTAATTGGTTCTTAACCACACATTCTTAGAGATCTTACAGTTAGGAGAAATTAGACTCATTTCACTGAATTTTAAATCTGACCTGTGAAAGGGACATAAAAGGTTCCCCCTTCAGGGTGGCTTGGGTTCCTCTTATGGACATTATTTCAGGCCTGTATTTTTCCTAAGGTTAAAAGTTTGTTGAGGGATGTGACATATCCTGTCCACTCAAGACTATCAGGGCTGCAGGCAAATTGCTTCTTAGAAAAGAAAGTGTGGGGGTCAGCACAGTGTGCCCATTGTATAGGATTATTCCTTAACCTGTGTTCCTGCCACTCCAGCTTGTCTGTCCCCTATCATGCCATACACTTGTTTTCAGCCCCTGTCCCTTATTAGAAAACATATTTGAGGCAGGGATGTAGCTCAGTGGTAGAGAATTGCCTCACATGCACATGGCCCTTTATTAATTCCCAGGACAAAAAAAAATGACCTTACCAGTGGGGCATGGTGGCCACACTGTAACCCAGCAACTCCAAAGCATGAGCAGGAGGACCCCCAAGTTCAAGGCCAACCTCAGCAAAAAACTTGAAAAGGGGGTGTAGCTCAGTGGCCGATCCCAGGGAAAACATACACCCTGATTTTTCAAAATGAAAAGTGAATCTTAGGTTTAATGGAACAGTTCAGCTCCATTCCTTTGCTTCACCTGGTATGTGCTAATATGCTACCTGGGTCTTACGCTGGCTGGTGGTTCCCTTTCTCTTGCTAAATTAGAGCTCTCGGCATGCTTAGGATGGAGGCCGTCTCCCCATTCTTGGTCATTCTTTGGGCAGAAGGAGATCACTATACTTCCTAACCACTATGAAGTTTGCTTCTCCCATGAAGAGGGCACCCCTGATGGTTCTTCCCTCCCTTCGAAGCCCATTCTTTATCCTTTCTTTCTAATAACCAAATACAAGTTTGATGTTTGTATCACCACCAGCCTCACCTGGACTTGCCCTCAAGTATGCTCAGGAGTGCCAGTCACTGCTGGCCACTGCTTTGCACGGTTTTCTCCTGTCCAGAATTGACAGTTTTATTTCCAGTGCCATTGAGACTTCTCTTGGGTGTTTATATTATCTCAATGAACGATGGCATATTCTGAATTCTCGCATGTTCAAGAGTTTCTTACACCTTCATAAATTGTTTTTTAGGTTGGCTGAACATTTTTAGGGCTTTAATGATCTGTGGCCCTCATTTCAATGAGTGATGGCTTCTTGACTTTCAGAAGAGGGACCGGGCATCAGACTGAATCTCATGGTTTGTGTGGATGTGTTCATTTCCTGTTGTTGCTGTAATAAGTTGTCACACTTATCATCTGGAGGTCAGAATCTCAAATAGGTCTCCCTGGACTGGAACCAAGTTACTGGGGGACCCATGTTCTCTTCTGGACACGAGTAAGGGAATCACTTCTTTGCTCTTCCCAGCTTCCAGAGCTTCCAGGCTCCTTAGCTGGAGGCTTTCTTCCGCCCTCAGAGTAAGCAATAGCCAGACCAGTCCTCATGCTGTGTCACTGTCTCTGACATGGCACCCTCTGCCTCCCTCTTCCACCTCGGGGGAGCTCTTAATTACATTGGGTGCACCTGCATAATCCAGAATAATCTAACCTCAACAGATTAAAAATCGTTATTCTGTGTGCAGTTTGATCCCCCTTGATCTGTAACATATTTACAAATCCCTGGGCTAATCAAGATGTGAACTTTGGAGAACCACATTCCTGGTAAGAAACTGGGAACTTGGCAAGAATGTCTGCCCTTGGAATTCAGAATATTAAGCATTTAGCTTCATGCCGTCTTTCAGCCTGAAGAAAAATTTTTTCCTAAATGTTTAATCAGTACTGAACTGTTGTGTTTTACTTCTATTTTAAAAATTTAACATTTGAATATATGTGTATATGTATATACACACATTTGTGACTTAACTTGAAGTTGTAAGAAAGATACGCAGTGGAAGTCCTTCCTATGCCTTGCCCCTTCTGGTTGTACCCACAGATCGCTGTCTCCCTGGGCCTGGTCCTTGGGGTGTGAGAGAGATTCTGCCTATCTCCTCTCTTCTTATATCTAATCATAATTCCTCAAAATAGCCTCAGTCAGGTTTTATTTTCTGTATAGAAGAAAAATTTAAATGAAGATGTAGAAAAAAGTGTGTTGTCAGACAATGCAGAGCTGGGATAGGAGTGGTCGGGTTGTCATTTGCCCTCAGGTTTGTGTGACTCAGATTCCCCTCTGTCAGAAAGGTGCCTGCAGGGAAGAGCAGGCCCGGGGCTTCCTGCCATGGTGCCATTGTGCCATCGCGCCATCCCGCCATCGTGCCATCACACCATCGTGCCATCACGCCATCCTGCCATCGTGCCATCCTGCCATCGCAGAAGTGCGGGGAGCCCCGGGCTCGGGCCTGGCTCTGCCGCAACCTGTCCCGGTAGCTGGGGAACTTGGGGAGCAGCTCTCGCTGAGAGCCCGGCGGTACCCCAGGCAGCGCTGCAGCTGGACCCAGCACCTGTCGCGGGCGGCTCCTCCCCGTGGGCAGGAAGAAGAGGGACACCTGGACAGAGCCGAGGCACACACGCCAACACGCGTGGACTCGTCTTCATCGTCCAGTAGTTTGGGCCGACTTTGAATTCCTCCCGTGATGATTCCGAGTTTTCCTTGAAAAGGCCACGTCTTTGCTCCCAACAGACTTCCCCTCCGGGAGGTGCCGGTTCCTGGGGCCGCACAGTAGTGGTCCGTTGCGACCCGAAAGGTCAGCCTCAAAGACCCCGCCTGGGTGCCACAGACCACCGAGCAGGAGCCCTGTCCCCGTCCTGCGACCTCTGCTCCACGCGGGCGCCCCCGCTGACCCCTGTCCCCACGCTAAGCGACGCGGGCAGGCATCCTGTCGCCGGCGCCCACTCCCTGCATGCAACACCGTGGGTGTCGGTGTCACCGAGCACGTGGGTGCACTTCTGGCCACCCCGGGCGGGGTCTCCCTGGCGGGGGTCTCAGCCATCACAGGCGGGAGGCGGACCCGTCAGAGGGGCCTAGTCGCATCTAATGCCCACTCTGCGTTTTAGCCTTGAGGGACCGGGCTTGTTTGGGGACTGGGTCACATTGTTGGGCCACAGTGAGGCTCGCCTGCGGGCAGCGCAGGTGGAGGAAGGGAGGTCAGCCTCCTAAGAGGAGCTCCTGGTCTCAGCAAGTCAAGGCTTCTCAACTCTTTCCTCAAGGGTCTAAACGAAAAAAGGGCGCCCCTTTCCCAGGAGACCTCAAACTGCACTACTTACCAGTGTGTCTGTCACCTTGGGCGAATGTCCCCAAATCAAAACTGCCAAAGAAAAGATCATTGTTTATAGCCTTTGCTTCTGTGCCAGCAGGACAGACTGCCTCCAACCAAGTTGATTTGCAATACAGAACTCCCCTCCATCTGGATCCCAGCTACTGGGGAGACTGAGGCAGGAGGATGACAATTGGAGGCCAGACTTGACAACTTAGTGAGACCCTGTCTAAGAATGAGAAATACAAGTGAAAAGGCTGGGCCTGCAGCTCAGTGGTAGGGCGCCCCTGGACTCTACCTCCTGGGGAGTACCAGGAGAAGAGGGGGTAAAGACTTGGAGGGCCTCTGATTTTGCCAGGGAGCAAGTAACTACTACTTAATAATTTGCAGCCTAAAATTGCTGCCCAGACTAGGTCCCAAATCTTGTTTTTAATTACCGGACTTTCCCCCATACTTCCTACAGTGCAGTATTTGAAAGAAGGCAGAGACTTTGTGACAGGTGACTATCACCAACAGTAAGCGATAGGTACTCCTACACTGAGCACTGTGATTTTTTTCCCTTAAATTTGTTCTATGCACATGTTAAAGCCTTTCTAAAATCTCCATGGCCAGTTTACAGAAGAATGATACTCACTAACATACCAACCCAGCTAAGAGGGAGCACTGCAGAGCCTGAGAACCCAGTGGCCTTCAGACACCAATTCTTCTTTATCATCATGGCCTCAAATACACTTTATGGCGTTAGGTTACATTCCTTGGCTCTGCATTTTGTTCGGCCTCTTTTGTAATATTAATCCTAAGTGAAATGTCGGTTCTGTCCTGATTTTGAACTGAAAGGGCCTCACGCTGCCATCTTCTCTGCTGCGTAACTTCAGCAGAGCACCTCCACATCATCTCCGTTCCTGGTTGATGAACCAGGGGTTGGTTCAAACCTTTTGCCCTTTCAAAACATCGGCCAAATCTTCTCCATGTCCTGGGCACATCCGTGAATTGGCCCGAGCCAGGGTC